AGATATTGACTTATATGTAAACGACCTCGGAATAGAGTTTTGATAATTCTAATAGCTCTGTATGGTGATTTTGGACTTAGGAGCGTGTCCAAAAAATTATTTGGAAGTCCGTAGTTAAATTAGGCTTGAAATGGCTAAAATAGAAATTTAAGCTTGGAAGTTTGACAAGGGAGTTGACTTTTTGATATCCGGGTCGGAATCCGATTCTAGAAATTTGAATAGGTCCGTTATATCATTTATGACTTTTGTGCAAAATTTGAGGTCAATCGGACTTGATTTGATAGGTTTCGGCATCAAATGTAGAAGTTGAAAATTCTTAGTTTCATTAAGCTTGAATTGGGGTATGATTCGTGGTTTTAGCATTGTTTGATGTGATTTGAGGCCTCGACTAAGTTCGTATAATGTTTTAGGACTTGTTGGTATATTTGGTTGAGGTCTCGGGGGCCTCGGGTGAGTTTCAGATGATTAACGGATCAAATTCTGACATAAGGAAATGCTGGAATTTTTCTGTTGCTAGTGTCTTCGCACCTGCGCATGAGGGACCGCAAGTGCGAGCTCGCAAAAGTGAGCTTGGTTGTGCAAAAGCGGAATTGGCTTGGCAAGAGCAGGGGTCGCACGTTCGCACGCAGGACCGCAAAAGTGGACTCGCACCTACGACGAGCTGATCGCAAAAGAGGAAGTGAGAGAGGAGGGGCCTCATCGCAGAAATGGCTTGGGTTCCGCGAATGCGAGGCAGCAGATGCAGACCTCTTGTCCGCAGAAGCGAAATAAGCTGCAGAAGCGGCAACTTCGACTCAGAAGTGGGAACCGCAGAAGCGGCTTAGTGAGCCGCAGATGCGAAAACCCATGGATAGAATAAAAATATAGGGGTTGCGGGATTTTGGCATTTTTGGTCATTTCCAACATGGGTTGAGGTGATTTTTCAGAGAGAATTCACGGAAAAACTTGAGGTAATTCACTTGTGATTATTTTTAGTCAATAATATTGGATTATCATTGAGTATTTCGACTAGATTACATATTTTTGAGATGAAATTAAAGGATTTGGGCCTAGGGATTTGAAAATGAGATTTGGGGATTTTAAGGTCGAGTTGTTGTCGAAATTTGATAAATTTGTATGGTTGGACTTGTGGTTGAATGGGAGTTCATATTTTATAACTTTTATCGGGTTCCGAGACGTGGGCCCCACCGGCGATTTTTGAGTGTACTTTCGGATTTTTGTGGGAAAAATTAGTATTTTGATATGGAATTAATTCCTATAATTTGTGTTGACTGAATCGAATTAATTGTGACTCGATTCGATCCGTTCGGATGATGTTACGCATAGAATGGAAATTCTGGAGCACTGTTTAGCTTGCTTGATATTGGACTCAACTTGTTTTAGATAAGTAACTCTTCTAATCTTGGAGCTGAGGGTATGAACCTTGACTATACGTGTTATGTGTTTGATGTTGAGGTGACGCACATGCTAGGTGACGGGTGTGTGAGCGTACACCATGTGAACTGTGACTCCATTAGTTCTATGGTACTGTGTAGTTACCTGAACTTATTTGTAATCATGAAATCTCTACGTACTAGAGTTATCGAACTGTGATTCATGTTAGAAAATATGTCTAGACTACATGCTTATTCTGTTGGGACCCACTGAGGTCATTGCTGCTGTTGAGTTATTTGCTTACATTGCGATGTCATACTCAGTCATATTCATTAATTGTATATCATATCTCAGTCTGTTGTTATTTAATGATACACCATATCATCATTTTGGGCTAGTTCATGCCATTGTGAGCTCGAGAGACTGGAGAGGTTGATGACTGAGTGAGGCCGAGGGCCTGATTTTGAGATATTAATACTATAGCACGTGAGTTATCCGTGCAGCATGTGAGTTGTCTATGCGGATTTTAGTGCTTGGGCTGAAGGAGCCCCTCCAAAGTCTGCACACACACAGTGAGCGCGGTTGATTTATATTGAGGGATGGATCTTTCCTGGGCATGGATCTTGTCCGAAGCATTTATACCTGGGGATGGATCTTCCCCACGGGATGGATTGGCCCTACTCGATATTGAGTGACTGATGGTCAGTTGATGTATATATTCCGGGATGGATCTTTCCTGGGCCGGATTGGCCATATACAGTACTGAGTGATTGAGCATGATGAGTGAAAAGTGTGAGACAATGAGATTGAGTACTCTGAGAGTGTGAGTACATGAGTTCATCTTTGAGATACATTGTATTGACATGCACACATGACATACAAGCATAGAGATGTATTTTCCTCGTGATGTACGATATCACGTCATTCATGACTTCTCACACATGTTGACATATGGGCATAAAGATGTATTTTACACTTGCTATCTAGAAAGAAAAATGAAACATTTTATCTATTGTTGAAAGGAGTTTTAGGAAAAAATACTGTTTTCAAACTTACTTATATTTTTGGTAACTTCGGTAAACGGCTTGAAGTTTTCACTGATATACTTGAAAGGCAAAACTATTTTTTAGAAATCATGATTAAGCTGAGCATTTTATCTCTGAGTTACTTCTTTTATTCCTTGCTTTACGTTGTTATGGACTGTTGTTGGTTATTGGTGTTGGACCCGACCTTTGTTCCAGCTCGTCACTACTTTCAACCTAAGCTTAGGTTTGTTATTTATTGAGTACATGGGGTCGGTTGTACTCATACTATACTTCTGTACCTTGCGTGCAGATGTTGGTTGTTGATGTTGCTGTGATCGACGGGAGCTGGAATTGAAAATGTACCTGCGTTCCGGTTGTAGATGCCTCTTGTTCATGGTAGCCTTAGATTTATAAAGATTTGTTTATGTACATTTCAAACAGATGATGTATTTATGTCATACTAGCTTTGTAAATTCTAATCTTAGGAGCTCATGATTTGTACTACCAGTCCTTGGGGGATGTATAAGATTTAGATATTTTCTTTTACTTAATTGTCTTGTTAAATTTTATTGGAATTGGATAGTTGATAACTGGCTTACCTAGCGGGTTGGGTTAGGTGTCATCATGACTAGTTGGATTTTGGGTCGTGACAAGGGCCCTTACCGCTTCAACAACATGCACCTCTTCAGCATCATCGGGATTCGCCTCCCGAACATGTCACGGGTACCGCCTGTCGTGAACCGGCATGGCATCGTTTCCCTCATTGCGGGTTCTACTGATTGAATCCTCCTGCTGAGGCTGGTCTCCTTGGGTCTCAAGTTTGTGTGTATTGTTAATACCATTATCTACCATTTTTTGTGATTTTTGCTAAGAACAGATAATCAAAACACGTTAGTAAAAGAAGCAAAGATCAACTTAATTACACGACTGTCTATACCCCACCGTGGGCGTCAAACTGTTTGCCCGTAAAACGGTACAGTTAAATTTTTACGTGGTTTCTAGACAAGTGAATTAATTCGATCCTGAAATAATAAAAGAATTGAAGAGATATGCAATACTTAGTCTTGAGATGAGGATGAAATAGCAGAAATAGTAGTTTCGGGAGCAAGGCTTCCGGGGACAACAGTAATGAAATCAAAAAGTAAGAAGGTAAAATTGTATAAAGCTTTGAATAGATTATAGCATAAGTTTGCCAGAAAATTCGTGTCATTTACAATGATTACAGAGCTCACTATTTATAGCTTCACCTAGGGAACAAGGTCCTAAGATCATGCCCTTCTTTAGTGTCAATTATGAGGGTAATTGAAGAATGTGTAACAGTGAGCATGAATGACAAATTCTTTGTAATTGGCACTGTAATAAATGTTGTAGAATATTCCCAATTAAATGCTTCTGGGTGGCAAGCATTTATTGCATCTTTATGAGCATAATTCTTTCCGGTAACAAATGAAACAGTTATCTTCGGCCTTAGCTATCCTCTGCCTTCGGTTCCGCGTGTCACCATCTTATGTAATTACTTAACATAGCATATTTTACCCTATATACCTATTGTATTGCATCGTATTGTTACTTTAAATATAATATTTGTTTTGATTGTTACTTAAACTTTATTGTATCGCATCGTTAAATAATGACGAAGTGCCACTTTACGTAATGACGGATTTGGTGTGGTGACGTCGTTACCTTATTTTTTTCCTCTCATTTTGTCCTTCTTTATTATTAAATAATCATATTTTATCCTTTGCCCTACTTTTTTAATAATTCTACTTTGTATCCTATTTTTTCTTAGTAATGTTGCGAGCTTATTCTTCATATGTTTGGTGCGTGACATCATGAAACGGCGGCAAACAATACAATCTATCCAAATATTGTATTCATCAAACAATACAATACAGTACAATACAATATGATACATTATGGAACGACATGTAACAACCATCCAAACAAGCTGTAAAATATTGCGATTCAAACTCTTCCATGTTTTCGTAGTAACTATCAAAATGATCTATGTCTGGAAAGTATAATGTGTACGCAAACCCTACTCCTACATTGAAGGTAGAAAAAATAGAATTATGAGTAAATGCATCTAAATTTATAATGTGACAGGAGCCTGGATTTTCTTCGAAAGTAAACAACTATATGCTAGTTAAGCTAACAATATACGAAACTAAACAACTATATGCTAGTTAAGCTAACAATAACAACAATATACATTGTGTATTTTCACAAGTAGGGTCTGAAAAACAATAGTATGTACCTAAACCTTATCCTTATCTTGTGCAGATAGAGAGCCTGATAGTGAGGTCCCTTTTTTAAGAAAATGACATATCGAAAAAGGTGGAATCCTTCTGCACAAAGATGATTAACATGCGCTGCTCGCTAATTTATCACGAACATGTTTAAAGAAGAGATTAATGAACTAAATGAACAAACTAATCAACACCGTATTTGATTGAGCAAAAGTTTTGCTTCCCTCCCGCGAGAGATATCTCTAAAAGTAATAGAAAGGCATATACACAAAAAATCGAACTTGAGACAGAATGTTTGATCATTCATTTTTTTTTAAAGGAGTAGCTCTAATGTACATATTTGCAGCCAAAGTTGATTGTCCACAATTTTAATATACAATTCCGTATAAATTAGACAACATCGAAATAGAAAACTTGGCCTCAAGCAGTACTGACCTCTCTAACGTAACATTTGGTCACTACGCCCACGAAATCGAAGAATAACCTTTCAAGGGCAAAAGTTGGTGCCCTATGCATTGTATATAACTAAGGAAAGTTAGAATGGAGATGGGGTAGGGATAAAACAAAGAATTGGAGAAAGCAAAACTCTATAGCTATGGAATGTTTTACAGGACCAATAGGAAATGCTAAACAAAAGAGAACCCAAGAGGGATACTAATCTCTTCTCGCGCTTGCAACGGCACTGTACAGACTCCCCTCCACCAATACTTTAGAAACTCCACAATGGATTCGCTTGTTAGCTCGTTCCTCATGTCGAAGTTGTGCAGAGAGCTGATTTGAAGCAAGCACATGCTCAAGCAATATCTTGTAGACCACGGTAGGAGTAAAAATGGCATGATTGTCTCAAAAGAGGAGTTATGATCCATTTACAGCCATTTCAGGAGATGATTTTGGCGGTATTAACGGATAATCATCTCCCCTCTGCCTATCATCTGGAGAACTGTGCATGCTTTCAGAAAAACTTTTAGGACAAGTTGGTTCTTGGTCGTCATGAGTATCCAAATCAGCACTCCCATTATCAGTAGAATTCCCTTTCTCCTCATGGTTGGACTCCACAGATTTCTTGTCTCCATCTGAGCATGGACCATCTTGTGCTGTACTTACTGTCTTTTTAGAGGGCAAAACTGCTTGACTTAAGGTTGAGCACAAAGCAGCGAAAACACCGTCTCGAGACTTTGAGCCTTTAGCAATCCGCTGCAACCTTTTTGGCTCAGGCTCTTCTTTCGGAGATAGCTTTCGTTTCAACGGAAAAGACTCCGCATCTTCATCAGAATTATTAGATTGCTTCCTAGGTGGTGGCTTATAATCTTCATCATCCTCGTCGTCATCATAATCAACAAGTCCTCCAGATCTAAAGCAACAATGAGAGTCTCATAACATGTTCCCTCAATTTAATAAATCCAGATTCCAGCAGTAACATCTACTTACCTCACAGATGAGGGGCTTGGAGCAGACCCATTAGGCAAGGCCGGCTGAGCCTGCGCTCTACTTGCGTTGGCCACAGAGGCAAACGCAGAATCTTCTTCATCACTGAAGGAATACATATTCAGTGGCTACCATATAAAGTTTTACATGCAAAGAAGTAAAAAGGCATACCTGTCTTCATTGAAATATTCTTCTTCTTCTTTCTCTAAACCACGCTCATTAACTCTTTTCCTAGGGTCGTCTAACAGATCGCCAACACTTCTGGTTCCTGAACAATCTAGGGACTAGACCCAAATAACCGATTATGAGCAAAGCATCACTTCCAAGAGAGCGATGGTGAACAATACGGGCAAGAATGGACAATACCTGCTCATATTTAATTTTCAAAGAGTGAATAGATGTCAACTTTTCAAACTTGACCAGTTCATCCCAGAATGAGTCCACTAAATACTTGAGCAATATCTTCAAGTTATCCTACATTAAGTCATGTCAGAGCCTAAGAAATAAGAGAAGTCATGTCACACTTACTTTTACACAATCTAAGCAGGTGAAGGAAATAAGATACTACCTTACGAATATGCTCAAAAAGCTCAAGAACAGCTGAGTTTAGCAGATTGTAGCGGTCTCCATTAGCAACAAAAGCATCAACCACTGGTTTTAAGAGATTGTGCTTCGCTATGTAATTCATCAAATGCTCATCCTGCTGATCGTACTTAGAAGAATTTGAATATATTCACAAATACACAGAAGGGAAACACTCGGAAATAATGAACATAATATTACACTTTAGTTTCTGCCAAATTTGTAGAAGCTCTACTGCCATGTGAAAAGACATGAAGAATAGAGAAAAACTCTTAATGAAATTGGTTGGTTATAGAAGTTGACTCACTTTATAGGAGTTTAGGTTATGTAAGATAAGGAAAATTTCATAGGTCTTGGGTGTCTCTAATATATGAGAATAATTATTAAGAATATTATACACAATATTCTTATTATTATTCTCTTCTTTCAAGAAGCTTCAACCGACTTGAAGGACATTTAAGCAGTACAACCAAAAAGAAGGCACTATTTAGCTCTTATCCCCAAAGGATAGAGTATGGTTTCTTCGCAGCCATACACTAAATCAAACCGTTCAGTAGAATTTACTTTTATGAACAAAAGAAAAGGGAAAAGAGAATCATAACCTATAATATTCTGGTCCAAAATTTTGAAACCATTCTTAGAAAGTTACTTTACACTAACGAACCCAAAAAAGAAGATAATGTTTCAATTCTGAATAGTAGCTACAAAACCTACAATCTTCCATGTCATTTTAGTAAGCAATTATGACTTCTACAGTACAATCCTCTACAAATACAAAGATGTTCAATGTTTCAACAAATTCTCTTTAACTCAATCAAAGTGACATTACCTCAAACCTACTAATCTATCTCATTAGTTGTGGTTACTAGAGAGTGGTAATACATGCATACAGTGTAATTATTCACTGATGCAAGTAAAAGTCGCAGGATAAGACATTAGCTAACTAGAGGGTGAAAATTTATCTGTCAAGCGCTGAAATAAGAGCTTCAAAATCGTACTATTACACTTTTTAGCAGAAAATCTATCTTAATATTTTACAAGAATCGGTTCTCAAAGTGTGGATACATGGATGTAACAAGTAGAACCTAGACCTATTTTACAAGAATTGGTTCTTAAATTTTGAATCCACCCTATTCTACCTCTCTGTTGACTCTACATACAATTTTAGGCCAAGTCTAATGTCTTAGCAGTTTTACCTAGTTATTATCAGATAAAAACCTACATAAGATCCCAACCAGTTTCATTCGACGTTTGCCAAGTCTATTGGGCCTTCACGGACTCATGAATCACCATAAGACTAACAGAACAAACCAATCCCCTGTGGATTAGCTGGCCCAACCACAGGTGGTGGACAAGTTCGAAACTCAGGAGAGTACAGACCCACCCTCTACCTTCCAACCACTAAAAGACCAGGATTTAGTCCTAGGTATGGTTCAAAGTCGTGACGTGCTCCTACCACACATCCCACATTTTAATTCCTTTACTGTTGGTCCGAAGCCTTGGGGGCTGCTTCTCAAAACATCTAAGCTCATTTCACGGGGTGACACATTCACCATAGAGGAAATAAATCAAAACTTGAGTCAATTAAGTCATGTCCACAGACAACGTTCTCTTGCTTGAGAGAAGTAAACAACTCACATTGCGCGAAATAAGAGTTCTCATAAATCTAACAGCGGCAACTACCAGGTACTTTTCTTTTCTTCGTGTCAGAAAGAGAACTTTATCTATCACATTATTTAGAAGAAAGTTGCACCTGCGACACAGAAGAGAATCAACATTAAACCAAAGAATCAAACTTAGCATTTAGGAACCAAGCAAAACCATACCAAGATGAGAAGATTACTTTATTCTATAAGGATGGTGCACAATACAAAAACATAGGAGATCACAGATATTTAGTAGTATTTCAGGCTTGACGCTGCTTTGCTTTTCAGTTCCTCCATCAGAGCACTCCGAGTTACGGACAGTTTCTGCAGCACCGTCTGCCGGGCAGGATGATGTTATAGCATCAATGAGTTGACTTAGGTGCTTCTCGTAGAAAATTTCAACAATGGCCTCTCTCTGGAACAAATTTAAGGAAGATAATCAAGAGCTTGAAGTAAATAAAAGTCAAAAGTAGTTGTTGACTAGAGAGAACAACCTTATCTAAATACTATTATCATTTTTATCCATTTTCCTATAGGCCCTCCCAGCCTCTAGTTTTTAACTGTGTTTCCTCTTCCTCTACAGTTTCTTCCTTACCCTTCCCTTCCCCTAGTTACACATGGTCAGAATATTGAAATGCAGTTTCCCCGCTAAGAAAGGTCAGACATTATCAGTCAGGAATAGAATTGCGTAAGATGTTCCACTCACCATCACAATACTTGAGAAGTTATAAGAGAGAAAATTCTAGATCTGTAGGAGAAAAAAGGACATTGTACGTATCCATGTTTTAAATGCCAATCCTGTCATTAACTCGACTAACCTGAATTTTTTGGACAAGGTACTAAATTTTTACAGAAAATTAAAACTATTATGGTAGAACCAGAAAAGTTATGCGCAAAGCACCTGGGTTCCTGATGCATATGAATCCATGAGACTGCGCAGAATTTCAAGAAACTGGCAGTGCATTTCATCCCCAAAATCTGTTAGCATACCTTTGACCTGCAAATTTGAAACCATGCTATTATTTACTTCTAGTGCCTTGCATGGCAGCAAGCACGGCTACCCTCCATTTGAGAGGAATGCAAAGCCAAGGGAAAAAAATGTGAGAGGTAAAATTAACAAATATCGTCTAAGCCAAATAAAAGGGCACGTCTTAGTGCTACAATTAGGAAAATATCCAGCATATGGAAACAGGAAACATCAAAATGAGAAATGGAGGAGAGACAAACTACCTTCTCCAATTATTTATCTCATGAATCACATACCACATTCACAGCATAGAATAACTGAACATTCTCACACGACAGCAGCAGATGCCTCACAACTTAACATGTTGAAGGGGATAGGCATAAGATAACAAAATCCATATATTGAAGCACATCATCCCAACAGTTGAATAAATGTTACATGAAAGAATGCATTTTAGGAGCAGGTAACTAACAGCTAGACTCACACTGATAATACACATACTTCAGTAGTCTCCATTGTCGAGCAATCCTTGATTTTAATAATCTATGAAACAAGAAAAGAAGAAAAACCTAATCTTTGCTCACCAGAAGTCCAAACAAAGCAAGGCCTTCCTGACGAATTACATAAGATCGCAGAAGATTTGAATCTTGATTTAAGAATAGAATGAGGATGTCTGTCCTGCATCAGTTAGAATCATTTTGGATAAGAACTTCAGGGAAGCGACAACCACAATGATATGCAAAGACAAAAGAAAAAGGAAAAGAAAAAGAGTCTACTTGCTAAAATATAACGATATGGTCCATTACCCCATCAGGACTAGCTTTTTGTCTTGGCTCTGCAAAACATCAGCTATGATATCGAATATGCCTTCATTAACAAGATCCCTGCAACCATAATAGTATTTGCAGTTATATCACCTCATTTGCTATAAAAGCAACATAAGATAAATAAATAAAAAGGCAGCCCGGTGCATAAAGCACCTCGCGTTCATGCAGGGTTCGGGGAAGGGCCGCACCCTCACAAAGGTGTGATGTAGGCAGCCTACCCTGCAAGCATCAGTGGCTAATTCCACGGCTCGAACCCGTGTCCTATAGGCCACACGGAGACAACTTGTCTCCGTTGCTCCAAGTAACGGATTCTTCCAATATCAATAGGTTGATTGTTTCGCTCCCCCTTCCAACATAAGATAAATTAGACTGATATTTCATATGAAAGACATATGCGTGTGATGCATACCTAAATAGCCGATGTTGCTGGACCACTTGCAAGCTCTTACTCAAAGTACAAAACTCATGCAAGAAGTGCACCTACCCAAATCCAAGAAAAGCAAACATTCAGTGCAACAATGATGAGACTACAAGTACCCTATCTAGGTCTCCCGTCAAATATAAGAATAAGGAACAGAAACGTATAAGGTCAAGATGTAAAGTTACTACCACACATTTTAGGGATGGCTGAAAGAGGAATAAGTACATGATTTACCTATTATTATCATGGCTCAATAAAGGATATACTATGAGCGCAACAACATGCCAAATGCCAGGGACAGATTTTTGGATTTCTTTTTTAATCCAAAGTCCATCATAGTGATGGAGGAGTTAGGCTTGACTCCAACCTGTGCATTCCAGATTTTTGGATTTGTGGTGGAAGAAAAGACAATAATTTTCTAGCATGTCATCCAACAAGCTCAACTACTCTTTGCAATCTCACTACAGGTGAATAGCATAAAAAGTAAATTTTGGAACTAATGTTAAACAGACACTACGATACATAATTCTGCAAATTCCACTCCCACCCGAGTTCGAAATTTTCCTACATTTGCGCCAGGCAACTTCTATATCTAACCAGCACACTCTTTCTAGGCTTAAAAGGGAAAAGGAAGATCTAGCCCCGATGAGAAATTGGTTGAAAATATTTTCTTTTATCTGACCAGGATAAGGGTGGCATGTGGGCCGGTTAGGACCGGGACCGGCCCAGGACCGCAAGCCCACATGGGCGGTGGGCCTAAACGGTCCTAACCGGATAGGACCGGGACCGTGGGGTGGTGGGCCGGGTAGTGTGCCGGTCTCATAGGCGAGGCCCGCGAGACCGGGACCGGTTGAGAAGTGGGCCGGTTCAAGCGGTCCCAAACGGTCCTATCCGGGCCCAACGGATAATTTTAAAAAAAAAAATTACCGTTTGGCCATTTAAAAACTAGCCGTTTGGTCTGCCAAAATAGCCGTTGGCTATTTGCAAAATAGTCATTTAACCCCCCAAATTTTGTTTTAACCCCAAACTTTTTATAATTACACTTTTTTTCCTATTTTCAACTATAAATACTCCTTCATTCTTTCATTTTTCTCACAAAATCATCAATCTCTCTAATATTCTTCTATAATTGCTTACTTAATTGTTACAATTTGTGCAAAATTGTGAAGTTGGTGAATTGAAGTCTTCAAGTCTTCAACGATAATTATTTTTCAACAAGTTGTTCGTCAATTCGGTAAACTCGTTCCAACTCTTAAGTTTTAATATTATAGTTTTGTTTGTTTTATTTACTTTGCTTGATTAATTAAGATGGCTTATTCCTTAAAAAAATATTTAGTAAAAATAAGGGAAAATCCAAGAATGGTGAATCTAGTGGCCAATCTGTTCCTCCTCCACTTCCCCCGGCTCCCCGGCCCAAACCTGTTACCCGTCCTACACCTCCTATTCTTGGTAGCGATAACAGTTTATTACAATTTACCGAGAGTCAATTTTGCCATAATATTGCACCCGGTGAACAATTAAACCATAAATATATGAATGCTCTTTATGGTAATCCAACTATTGATGAAAATGATGATGAAGAAATAGATTTTGATGAAACGCAACCGGATGACGATACACCCACTAGTCCTGCTCCTGAAGTTAACCCAACTAATAATAATCTAGATGATCCCCCGTCTGACCCTCCTATTAGTGCCCCTACTTTTTCTAGACAACCTTCTAAACGGGCAGAAACATCTCTTGTTTGGCCATTTTTTACTCAACTAAGAGAAAAAAATAGGGCTAAGTGTAAAACTTGTGGCAAAGAGTTCGTTTTTAAATATGTTGGAAGTCGGGGGGGGGGAAGTTTGACTAGACACATATTGCTACACCCTCAAGATAAAGCTAGATATTTTCGTATGAAAGCTTTGGCCGAGGGGACAAGTGCACCTAGTCAGGCTGACCTTAGTACCGGGTCAAATCAATTTCAACCGGGAATTAACACTGTTACTGGTGGTATTTTATATTATGATCCAAAAAAAGATCGGGAAGAATTGGCAAAAATGGTTACTGTTATGTGCTTACCCTATAGTTTTCCTTCTAACCCCCACTTTGTGCATTATATTAGAAAAGTTTATAATCCTACTTATAAAGGTTTTCCTCGCACAACCGTAAAGAGTGATATTTATAAATATAAACATGAATATGAATAATATTTGCGCTATTTATTTACTCATATAAATTGTCGTCTTGCTATTACAACTGATATTGGTAGAAGTGGTAATGACTGTGATTACCTTACTGTTACCAGTCATTGGATTGATGAGCATTGGATAATGCAAAAGCGCATTATTGCTTATAGAATAATTAATTCACGTCACACAGGGCAGTTTATTTCTAGCACGATTGCGGATATTTGTAGATATTTTTGCATTAGTGATAAAATAATGTCAGTTTCAATGGATAATGCTACTAGTAACACAAATGATGTAGCCTTGCTTACCACTACACTAAGTCCTGCATTTAGTAACATTTTTCATGTTAAATGTATTTGTCATATTTACCATTTAATTGTAGGTGATGGTATGCGAATTTTAAATGTTGAAATTGAAAAGGTTAAAATGGCTCTTAATTGGCTTTTTTATTCAAACCGTAGAAGTAGACTTAGAGAGATATATATCTTAAGCCATATTCGATAGTATATAAATATATATATCGAATATAGCTTATATATATATACTATACTATATATATATATCTTACTATATACATAGTATATAAGTCATATTCGATAGTATACATCTTACGATATACTATATATACATCTTACGATAGTATATCGTAAGATTTATACTATCGAATATGACTTATATAGTATATCGTAAGATGTATATACATATATATATATATATATATATATATCTTACTATATACATAGTATATAAGTCATATTCGATAGTATACATCTTACGATATACTAT